ATAATAATAATAATAATAACAGCAATGATAACAATAACAAAAACAACAATGACAATAATGGTAACAATAATAGTAATAGCCTTGCAAAGACTATTCTAAAGGAGTAAACCAACTTTCTACTTGCAGGCCCTGTCGAGTTGCCACACACTGATATCCTGATGAAGTTTTTCCAACGCACCAAGTTCAGACCGGAGCCAATGGGCAGCAGTGTTCTGATGACTTTCTTTGCCCAGCATTTCACTCACATGTTCTTCAAGACCGACTACAAGAAAGGTCATGGGGTTACGTGGAGTGGTCACGGGGTAAGAGTTTTTCGCACTGTAAATCGTGCATTCTGTCTCTGTCTGTCTGTCTGTCAGTCTGCCTGTCTGTCTGTCTGTCTGTCTGTCTCTCTCTCTCTCTCTCTCTCTCTCTCTCTCTCTCTCTCTCTCTCTCTCTCGCTCGCTCGCTCGCTCGCTCTCGCTTTGTTTCATTTGTAGTACTGCGTGTTCAGTAACCTCACTGCATTCTAGATAAGAAGAGAAAGATACGCTTCTCTGACAATGACATGTCGATTTCTTTAACTTCATCCTCCAGATCAGTGCCACGTTTGTAACTTTAAAGATATGATGTTATAGTTCTTGTAAGGCATACAAAAGACATGTTCGAGCGTGCACTACTCGACAACCCCATTCAAGAACTGACTGAGGTGAAATATTGCTTCCCCCCCTCCCAAAAAAAAGAAAAGAAAAGAAAAAAAAACCAAAAACCCCACCAATTTCGGGCCATTGTACCCTCGACCCTTACTACCGCCAAGATATTTATTTTTTTTTTGGTTCAGGAAGGGAGAGGACAGATTGTTTGATCCCCTTTTCATATCTCTAACTCTACCGTCTTTTCGACTCACACCTTGATAATTGGTCGCTTTAAAGGACAAGCGGGCCAACCAAGATTTCGGGGGTTTTCAGAAATCTTGCCCAACACCAAAAGTGGGCATTGCCCTACTTATAGGAGAAGTTTGGTTTCATCGGTGTCTATATTTGTTTGGTTACTGAGAAAACTCTCCTTGACCTTTAAAGAAACTTGACAAGGGGCAAAAACGTTACCTTCGATTTTCTCAGAACAGCATTTTTAGGGATAGCCCGCTTCTGCTTAAAAGCAACCAATTAATTGCAAGGCAAGTTTAACGCCCCTTTCAACCATAGACGTTAGTTAAAGAACAAGATCTTGGAAATCGTCCATCTCTGGTAGGACTAGGCGAGGCAAAGGAAGATGGGGGGGGGGGTTTGGCAAATTTCCCCTAACAATCCACATTCAATTAAGCCTCCTTAACGGAAATCGAGCCTGAGCAATGCGTGCCATAAGACAGATTTGTACCAACTATGCTGGTGGCACTTCCTTATACGGGGTGCCCACTACGGCTGGATCGGGCTGACGGCCTGACTCGATTGCCTGAAACTGAAAACAAGCACGTTTGTTTTAGGTGACCGAGTCGGGCGATCGTCCCGAGCAGCCGATCCCATCCGTAGTATAAGTGTTTTAGGACCAATGTGCACGGTAATTGTAATAGATTGGGTGATAGTAATCATAATATACTCCACATTGTCTCAAAGAGCTTATAAATAGAACTACGTGTATTATAACCTATTTGGCATTGTCTTCAGGTCCCCAATGGGCATGATGCTGCTACAAACGATATGGAAAATGGTGACGTCAGCAAAGGGAAACTTGAAGAACAAGATGGAGACACTGACAGCGTAGCCTTTGGAGGTGAGACAAATAAATGAGCAAAGAAATGCGTTCGTCAACTTGAGTTATTTCCTCGTTGGAATTTCCTAAACAGATTTGTTTCCTCGTTTGAATTTTTAAAACAGAGTTATTTCCTCGTTTCTGTTGGAGATTTCTAGACTAGAAATTTAAAAGGAAGGACTTTTTCTTTTTGATTTCTTGGAAGGTGGGGATCTTTTTGTAATGACTAGGAGCTCTGGATTAATTATCCTATGGAACCAAAGACAAGGTCGGCTTTTATTCTTGGTATTAATTATGTCACGACACGGTGGAATCAGGCGCTTGTCAATTTTTGGGCATATAGTGTTATTGGTATCAGCTTAAGGTTTGTTCATTTGACTATCTTTTGATTGAAAATGATCCATCTATCGCGAATATTAGTCGAGATATTTGCGATTGAAAGAGGTGGGGGTTGCCTGGTTTCAAAGCTAAAATTAGCGAGAAAATGACCGCCAAAGTTTTGGTGATGTCCAAAGCTTGAGAGTGCTCGGATACTGCCAATTTACAATTTTGCGCCTTTAATCAACATTTTTTAGCAAAATCTACTGAGAGATTTGTTTTAAAATGGACATAAAAGATGTTGAGCAATTTTGTTTAATTCGATAAAAATTCCTCAACCTGCGAAAAATGCAAGTTTCTTCACTTTCATTATTTTGACGAGCGCTTGATTTCACCACACTGCCTCACAATTACTCTTTGTATCGGTACCTGTTGAGTCCTTTTAAAGGACAATCTCCGTCGGAATCAAGGGAGCGCGAGGCAATGAGACGGTTGTCTGCCGAAATAAGGGCAACAGCTAAACATGTTTGTGGTCTTCCTGTCGCTGTTGTTGTAATGTCACTGAATTGCTGCAGCTGTTGTTGTTGCTGTTGTTGTTGTCGCTTTTGTTGTTGTTATCCTTACTGTGTTGCTTGTGGTGGTGATGTGTATGTGTATGTGTGTATGTGTATGTGTGTGTTTGTGTGTATGTGCGTTTGTGTGTGAATATGTATGTGTATGTGTATATGTGTGTGCGCGCGTGTGTTTGTGTGACCGATGAGTATAGTAACAACGGAGTCCGTAATTAATCTTTTGCGCCTTTTCTCGGCAAGTAGAAGAGTGTTTCTCGCAGGGTCACCGCCTACTCCTTCATATAAGATCTGTTGTTGTCCTTCCAGGGGAAAAAACCTATCATCTGCTGAGTGGGAGGTCATGTTGAAGAAGAGAAGGAGATTCTCAAGGGTTTTCAAAAAAAGATGTTTCAGGAAGGTTTTAGTGATGTTGACGGGACCGTGTGCCCCTCGAGATTTCATCTTGGAGATAGCATACCTCAACTCGTTGATTGTGAAGCCGGGATGAAACTCTCGCGAAGTTTTTTGGGGGGATCCGTTAGCCGTTGTTTCCTTGCTCTTTTCACTCCTGTAACCACTTCTGTCATAATCAAGCTACTCCACTTACAGTGGTGGGTCACGAATATTTCACCTGTCTGCCTATCTGAGGTCACAGGTAAAAAGGCGATAGAAATGTATGTATATTTAGAAAGTTCGGTAAATTACATGCTACGAATGCAAGCATAATATTATTATTATTTCTGTGCACAAACATAGTGGATCTATACATTATTAGATAAATAATTATATAATACATGTATACGCATAACTTACACGATCATATCCTAGGCACATGCACAAACAATATCAAAGATTGGTTTAAGTTTTCTCACTTTCATTTTGTGATTCCCATTGTATGCTTCTTGTGGGCGTTTTCAGACATGACACCGTCACAGAAATGTCACAGCGTTACCAAAGTTCTCGTCAAGGTCGCCCTGTTCCTGTGTTGCCTTTACATCTTTATCTGTTCCCTGGGTCTACTGGAGTCGTCGTTCCAACTTCTGGGAGGTAGGCCTACCTTTGTGATGGCTGTAAATAATCCACACATCCATTTTGATTGACAGTTAGCTAATTAATCGTTTAGATAAAGGACTTCAGTCTCAGCTTAGCTTCTTTGGTGAGATGCAGGATCTCAGAAGACAGACGAGGATACTCGATAAGATTTATACTGATCGGTCGCTGTTAAGCACAAGGGGGCTATCCCGAAAAATGCTGTTTTAAGAAAATTGAAGGTAAAGTTTTTGGACCCTTGTTCATTTTTTTTTTTTAAAGACAAGGAGAGTTTTCTCTATAACCAAATGAATATACTCTCCGATGAAATCAAACGTCTCCTATAGGGAGACCAATGCCCATCTTTGGTGTAGATCAAGAATTCTGGAAACCCCCGAAATGTGGGTTAGCCCGCTTGTCCTTAAAAGCGACCAATTATTTTCTCGAGAATCGAAATCTCGTCTTCGGGTTACAAGGGCGAGACGTCTATAAGCCAGCCATTTCAAAATCACGAAATTTGAAATAAAACGTCCTCAACTCTGCCAGTGGTGACATTTACGTTATTATTTCAAGTACTAGATGTATTTATTGGGCGTTTCTTGAGTAGAAAAAGGTAGGATCAGATGTTGTACTGAATCAGCTTCTATTAGAGCAACCAAACAAAACATTTTCGTCAGCACCACTGGTGACATAGATCTACACGTAGGTTTCTTAAATCCTAGACCGCCCCACTTAGTGGGGTGGCCTCACTCAATACATGTGTTATCATATTGAGGGTAGGTTACGGGAGCCTTTCCAAAACATAATTGGCGAATCTTTAAGAAGAGCTAGATCTAGATCTGTTCAGATTAAAGGTTGACTTTTGTAGAAATATTATTCTGGCCACAATACAGATGCCAGCATCGGCACTTACTGAAACATTTTGGTTCGTTTTGCAAAAAAACAACAAAAACAACAAAAACAAACAAACAACAAACAACCCAAAGCAACAACAACCCAGGTTCTATTGCAAAATTCTGTTCTTTTTATTTGTGTACAAGACATGCAATCCCTAAAAGCAGCATCCATAAAAGCGCAATATTATAATAGATCATGAAAAATTCGCCGCCTTTGCTTTTGGAGACGTTTTTCTGTGTAGAGTGTAGAAGTAGATATATTTTAAACAAAGGAGTGGTCCATCGTGTGATACACCATACAAACGAATTTTACGGCACTTGCTACACAAGATTAGAAATGTTACTGCTAGAAAGTAGCATTCAAAGAAAAGAAGGAGGAGAGAATAAGGAAGCTGTATAATCTATAGTTAGGTCAAAGGGGG